ATTTCATATTCAATGCATAAATACAAACATGTACACTGACCACAAATCACTTTTCTCTTATCTAGGGAACATTCATTACAAAGGTAGAATGTAAGGATAGAAGTTTTGATTTGTTTTATTCCATACCTAGACCTATGAATCTTTTCCAGGAGAAAAGATCTTCTATTAAAAAAACATGTGAAATGATGAAAGAATATACATTTTTCATAGGAAAATTCATTGTCAAAGAACAGCACGGGTTCTAGAATAACATTTAAAAATGTATATTGTTTAGGTAATTTTTTCTTTAGATGATTGCATGTTATTTTGTCTTGGTTCTGGTTCTTCACTTTGCTCAGGGACAGACACAGACAGGAAGTTGTAAAGATATGTTACAGGACAACTGTCATCTGCTATAGGAGCATATCAAGTAGAAGCATTAAGGCGGGTATTCAAAAGCTTCACTGGCGTCATTGAAACATTGATTAAGAAGTTCAAGGAGGAAGTGAATGCTAGCATACACGATTTTTTCGTGCCAGCTCCTACTGCGACACGGGACCTCGGTTTATACGGTCTCATCCGAAGGACCGGTCTCCACGTCCCACAGTGGGATTCGAAGTTGCGACGTAAGGATCAACTCCTTACTCCGCGAATCTAGAGCAGACGCTTTAACCACTGCGCCACGCGGGCGACGCGCTGACTATGCATAAAGTCAGTAAAAAAGTGGGCGTCCTCATTATCGAACGGAGATTCAAGAAATTGTTATGACCCCTGCCTTTCAAAAACAGATTCGAACTTCGTAAATACACACTTTTATTAAACGTAATTACATAAAGTTGTAAATTGTATGTTGATCATTCTTGCAATGAAAAGAAAAATGCTTGTTTTGAAAGTTTATTTTGTCGCAAATTTTGCATGTCCTTAAGTGCGGTCATCCTTTTACCATGATGACGTCATGTCTACAAATGCATTGCGTTCAGTGACTTGTTCATATCTTGCTGTATGGGATTTAACTAGTGACTAAAATGAATGTAGTGGTAGGTTTTGATGTAGTTCATTACTCTTATACAGTTTAAATTCACAAATTATTTCATTTTTTCTGGTATTGTGGGGAATTTTTTTTTGGTGTAATATCACAGTACACATTTCCTGTATTATTTAGGCCCCAACCCCTTTATGCAGCCTTAACAGAACTGCGTTGTCTTGACATTGCAAAAGCCAGCATTCCTTTGCTTACTTTAACTTAAATGTTACTAAGATACGAAAATTGACTGAAACTCTTCTATATCATCTTCGAAATTTACTTTTCCTCCATTTTTGGTCATGACTATCAAAAACGTTATTTTCTGGTTATAGATCTTGTCTCTCGGCCAGGTCTATATTTTCTAACCAAAGGGGGTTGAATTCCTCTTGCACTTTGTAAAGAGTTGTTAAGCGTACCCAGCCAACAATCATCAGGAAGAGTGTTGGTAATAGGGGAACCTTGTTAAACCAATTTTTACAATAAATGATTCTATCAGTCATAGTTTTTATTATGAATTATTTGTACTTTTGACTTCGTACAATGTCTTAACTATGTTGTCGATCTTTAGTGGGGTTCCATAATGTCTTAAAAAGTTTCCTTATAACTCTTTTTATAGATGACACTTTTTTGGTTTGTGCAGATTCTCATCGATATAAATCTGGTTCGTTTGTCTCTGATACTTTGTATATTGCCTTCTTTTAATTTCTTCCAAATGACACTTTTTAGAATCTTGCAATGATTTAGATCTCTCTTCTTTGGCGTATGAAGTTTGACAATCAGTTCTTTCTTCCACTAATTAGGGACCATCTCTGCTTCTCATAGTTTTTTTTTTTTTTTTTTTTTTTTTTTGGTCTCTTATTCCCTATTTTGTTGTCCTTCTTTCTTAAAGCTGTATTAATATTTCGTTAATTCCTGCTGTTTTTTCAGATTGTCACTTCTTTTCTTCCAACTGCTTTTGCATTCAGGTCTTTCTCTAGGTAATTGTTATTGGTCCTGTAAAGTTTGGTCTATCAAGTACTTCTTGAAGTGTTTTTTTTTTCAACTATATAGTTGTTTCTCTAGATCTAGCTTTACTAACATTTTTTTAAAATTAGGATGGGTTTATCAGACCTTCTCTTTCTCAGAGTTTTTGTGATGTAATAAAAGTCTTCAATCATCCTCGTTACGCTCAGTTTCCACGCAACCTCCTTGATAAAATCTTCTCTCTCTTTTTTTTTTTTTTTGCCTTCAGTTATGATCGACCTCCTTGTCTAGTCCCTGATATTTAGTTAGAAGCTTACATCTTTGCAAACTTGTGTTTGCATTCTAAAATTGTTTTTTCCATAGTTTTTTTGCCAATTGTGTTAGTGACATCAATTCTTTCATTTTATTTAATATCTTTTTTGCTAGGATTTCAACACTTGTGTTTTTGAAAATGTCTTTGCCAGTATCTCATTAATTTATCGAGGTCTTCTGGGGTATATGGAATCTGAATTCGATTTTACTTGATGTGGAATTTTCAATATACACTTATTTTCCCTCTTTCTGAGTTTGGTTGTCTTATTTTCAATTTGCCAATTAGTAGAAGTGGTCTGAGTTTAATTAATTACATAAATTGTTCTCTTTTATCTTAGTCATACAAAATCCAAATATATGTCTACTACACGAACTATCTTCATGTATTTGGAAACAATTAGTACTTTTTACAATTATTCGCATATAAAGTTTCAGAAGGTCTTCAACAATATATTTCATAGGCGCTTCTACTGAACAACATAGTTGGTCAATGACAAAATTAAACTTCTTTTATATTTGTATTCCAATAATGCTTTCATGGCAATACACACTCTTTTCTTTATTGGTTTAACTTTCCGTCTGCGTTAAGAAGTAAGAAGTCTTTATATGCATAACCTTGAATTTTACAGAAATTAGATATTTAACAGAACGAGCTAAATGATATCAAGTATGCACCAAATATATACACGTAGTCCTCCGTTTGATACAATATAGCTTTCTTTCTCCTATCCTTTGCTTGCTCCGATTTGGATATATATTATTTTTATTCACAAAAGTCCCTGTAGTTTAAAACTAAAATAACATTCCATCTTTAAGTTTACAAAAATATTTCTAGTATCTCTTTCTGTACGAAATGATATTAAATTTTCAAAATAGGAACAGCTATACCATTTCTAAAAACAAGGATTCTAGTTTTCACAAAATTAGGTCTGAAATACTATCACATAGATAGTTATTTTTAGAATCACTCGTATGTCGAGAATGGTATTAAACATATCAAATAAAATAACTCTGGAATGAAAGTTTTCAATATTGTCTAAGGTTTTGCACTATGTTTGATTTGGATTGAATGTAATAAAATGATTTCCTGATATGATATGATATGATATAATATGAAGGGGGGGGGGGGGGGTTGACATTTTCATGATAGATCAATTTATATATATATATATATATATATATATATATATATATATATATATATATATATATATATATATATATATATATATATATATATATATATATATATATATATATATTCTACACAAGGAAGTGCTATGGATTTTGTCAGAGTAAGCACTAGTGTTATAGTGGTAATTTGTTTGTGAAATATACATTGTCCTTAGAGCTCATATATAATACACACCTTTATCTTTCGGTATTTTAAAAATAATTAATGGATGTAAATAATTTCATTTTCATAAAATCATAAAATTTAGGGGTAAACATTATTTCACTAGGTTATATATGCGATAATACCAGTTTAAATACTATCGTATTCTTTGTTCACAACTTTATTTTCTTATAATTTTATGACCACCATGTAATATTTCTTAATTTACCAATTTTAGATCTGATGTTAATGGTTCTATAATGCAAGCAGTTTTAAAAATGTGTATGAAGGGTTTATTACGACATAAGTCATTTCATATGTGTCATAGATTGCTACTAAAGAATGTTTCCTTTTGCTAACTACTCTGAATTTTAGTTGTTTAAGTAAAATTTAGTGGGCCTTACATCGGTGTAAAATTACATTTTAATCTATTTTCTTCGTGTCTAACTTTGAGGTCAAACTGCGTTGGTTGTTATCAGATATTAAGCATATTTGGTGCATGAATATAAACATGTACATGTACCAAACATCACATTTCTCTCTTATAAGGAAACATTCATCAAATGGATGTAAGGAGATATATATTTTTCCTCTATATGAAAATCTAGGAATCTTCTTTCAGGACAAGAAGTCAAATAAGTTATATGCATACAAAATGATCAGGAAATACACAGTATTTTTATTCATATTTTATTAAGAATTCTCAATCAATGAATACCTTAATTTTTTCCTCAGATGCTGGCGTTTTATGTGGTCTTGGTGTGTCTTCTTCACGTGACTCGGGGAGAGGCACAGACTGGGGGTTGTAAAGACATATTACAGGGTTACCTAACAGGACAGCTGTCGTCTGCTCTAGGAGCGTATCAGGTAGAAGCTATAAGGCGGGAATTAAAAAGTTTCACTGACGTCATTGAGACATCCATGATAAAGTTCAAGGAGGAAATAAACGCTAGCGTACAGGATGAAGGTATCATACGACCAGGAACACTGTATGTATTGACGTTTAGTATTTGTCATTCCATGTTATAAAAATGGAATTCTTTGTTTTCGTAGGTAAAGGAAATAAAAAAAACATTGTTTACACAAGATGGGGAAAGAAGATGTGTCCATCTAATGCAAAACTAATTTATTCCGGTGAATAAATCATAATTATGCATGCATTTTAATTGTTAATTTATCTTTATTTGTAAATTTATTTTTTTTTTCATTCTTTGACATGTTTTTCAAAATTTTGTTTTTGCAGAAAGACGTTTATTAATGAGAGTTTAATATTTATGTACAATGTAAATGTTTGTTATAAATATAAAGCATTCTAAAATAAGTAAAAAAAAAAATTATGGATGATTTACTTAAGCTACTTGTATGAAGGCTTCCATTGTTTTATAGGATACGCTGGAGGATCATATTATAATCATAAAGGAGCAGCTGTAGATCCCCTTTGTTTACCGAGGGATCCAGAGTGGGGGGTCTACAAGGATGGAAGTGAGGGACATAAGGCATATGTATACGGAGCAGAGTACGAAACGGACACCTTCAAGAGTCGCTTTTCCTCTCTTTATTACCATGACGTACCCTGTGCTGTGTGCCTTGTTCAAAATAGATCCGTTGTGAAAATGTTTCCAGGTAAAAAAAAGTTATCATTTGCCTTTAACTTGGTTTATTGTGATTTCCGATTGTTATAAATGTGTACAGATATTCAAGTTTATTCAAATCATGTATGAAGCCAGAACAGGAAATATTTTTTTTTTACAATGTCTTCTTTTCAAAAGCATTAGAGCCATGACTAGTCATACTCAGATGCAGCCATCTTAAGTAGTGCTCAACTTCTCTTTCTTTTCGAATCATAACAATGGGAGATAAGATGCAGACATAAGTGAGCAAAATTTAGATGGGGTTAAAAGAGAAAAAATAAGAAATTTATTTTCAAGAAAAAGTCAATGCTTAGTCGTATGAAATGCTTGTCTTTAAAAAAAGCTTAAATCGGAAAAAAAAAATCCAAAATGGGGGTCTGACCATTTCATATCATGATTGCATTTTCTAAATATCGGTTGCATTTAGAGCGCAGAAAAAACTTTTAAAAATCTAAACTCGTTCTATTTATAATAGTGACAAGTAATAAACCTTAAAATACAATGTTATATCTAGGTAAATAGCTCAAAAATATCTACAGCGAAGATTAATATCAAAGCTGAACAATAAACATTTAACAGGTACAATTCTATAAACAACACAATAGTTAATTAGTATAAATTTTATAGCAATTACTTTGTATGAGTTATTCTAAACTTTGTAAAAATTATACAAGTTTGGGGTAAATTTTCGATGTGTTTTTATTCAAGTAGGAGATATTCAAGATTTCTTTTTAAAATTGCTTTTCTTATTTAGATGAGCTTTTATTTAGCTATACTTTAAAAAATTAAGCTTTGCAATGAGTTGAAGTGATAAAAATGAATTTGTGAAATACACAGAAACTTGGTTTACAAGTTTTTTGTTTGTTTTTATGTTGTTTAACGTCCCTCTAGAGAATTTGTCACTCATATGGAGTCGCCACCACTTGCCGGTGGAGAGCTGCAAATTTTGTCCTATACTCAGCACTTACGGCCATTGAGCCGTGAGGGATCTTTTTCGTGCCAGCACCTACTGCGACACGGGACTTCGATTTATACGGTCTCATCCGAAGGACCGGTCTCCACATCCCACAGTGGGATTCGAACCCGCGATGTAAGGATCAACTCCTTACTTCGCGACCCTAGAGCAGACGCTCTAACCACTGCACTACGCGGGCGGCTGGTTTATAAGTAATTAATATTGTTGAGCAATATAAAGCTTTCTGTAAATCACTATATAAATTATTTTTGCAGGGTAGCGATTTTGCATTTATAAGCTAAACAAAATTTTAATGCATTGTCGTTATTGTTGAACATAATTCATAAAAATTTTTGCACACACACACACACCCTCACACACACACACACACACACACACACACATATATATATATATATATATATATATATATATATATATATATATATATATATATATATATATATATATATATATATATAAAATATGAAAAGGAATTTTTTGAGAGCAGACAATCTTGCGTAATTACCCAAAAATAAAGTTCTCGCGAATAGAAAGTTATTCATGGTTTTTATTTCTGAAAATATATTTTTTTTTATCATGATTCATGGTACAAATAATAAAAATTAAAGCCTTTACTTGATTTTTTGGTTCTAATTTTGCTTTCGGGATAACTAGAAAGAGTTACCTCCATTTATATTTTTTTCTGTTATTAGAATACATGTAATACTTAGAAGGGTTATTTTCTGTTTGATAACTCTCCTTTAATGACAGACCTTTGTAGCATTTGTAATACTAGATTTCATAAACATTTCTTGTAGAAAATCTTATCACCATCTGATAATGTACAGTATTTATAATATATATCAGTGTAAGAGGGACATCGGTGTACATTTGCAATTAAATTGTTTCTGTGCTAAAAAATATATACAATAAATGCCATAATCCGCACTAAACCAAAAGGATGCTGGGTTAGCTTTATCAACTTCACTGTCATCAAACTAAAACTGGTCATCATTCAGAATATTTTCTGCTCTCTTTTTTAAATATGCTGGAAAATTAGAATTGATGGAAAAATCATGTCATCCTGAACTTATATCTCCAAGAAATATAAGCTTAGGCTATTAGCGGTGTTGCTGTTCATAATCTTGTGTAGGGAATATTGATTTATAATGAGAGAGAGAGAGAGTTAACTGCAAATTAACAATAAATGTAAAGGTAGTAGGTCAATACAATACAGGAATGCCCCCCCCCCCCCCCCACCCACCAAAAATAATAAAGATTGTGGCATTTAATATTGCTTTGTAGAAAGCAGTTTAGAAAGCATTATGGTTTATGGGAAATAGTATAAAAAAAAAATTCTGGCTCATTAAAAAAATCATTTATTAGTAATATTTTCTTAATAAATAGCATAAAACTGTGTCACAAATTTATATTTTAATCACATAATACATATTAAATACCATTTTAATAGTATTTGGTTGGAAGCGATACTGCTAGAACTTCTTCAAGTAAGAAGGTGTCCGATGCATTGTGAACTCACCCTTTAAGTGTTAACATTTAAAAAAAAGAATAGATAAGGTTATTCTATAAACGCCTTTGAATCGATGCGGTTTATAAAAGTTAATAGAAAACAAGATATATTATGAAAAAAATAATTTGCGTTTTTCTGAATTTATGTGTTTCCAGGATATATAGCTCTGCAGAGTTTGATATATATCTATTTTCTTAACCTTAATTGATGATGGAGGGTTCAATAAAAATTTTTTTTAGAAAAAGACACATTTAGGAGATTCTATTATAGTCATATTAATTTCCCTTGGTTTTTACTATTATTTATTTTGTTTTTGAAAAATATTTATTGAAAACACTTCAAAAAGCAAAAAAAAAAAAATACACGCTACGAAGGATAGAGCCTCGGGTATCATTGTTACTTAATGACTGGATTTTATAATCATGCAGCGGTTACAACATACAAGTGTGTAGACAACAATACGGACACATTACATGGCGCGCAAGCTATAATACACGGCTATCTATTTTACGAGGGTCGTTCAATAAATAATGCAATAGGTCTAAAAGTAAATGCGTAATACATATTCTAAACATTTTCAATCCATCACAGCATTCCCTGTTATCCTTTACACATGTCTTAAGTCTTTGTACCCATGATCAGAAAACCTCAGCATACCCATCTTTAGGGATGCCTCACTGATGAATATCACTTTCCATGACCTATCTAATTTTGTATAATCTTCCTTTCAGTGTTTTCATGCATTTTGGCAATAAAAAGGTCCCACAATTGCTGAGATCTAGCAAATATGGGGGAATACAAATCTCTGTAAACTTTCTTTTCTCAGAAGTTCATTTATTTCTCTATGCTTATTTACAGCAGCGATGCCAGGTGCAAGAAAATTACCCTGGGGCGGTATTTGGACTTCCTTTGTAGGAAATCTTTTTACCTTTCCTCAGTGCAATATGAACGTAAAACTTACCATTGATGGTCCTTCCTTTGGATGTATGTACATGTTTTACTGGACCTCTTGAAAAATATGAAGTCTAACAAACATGCTTGTAGCCCATGTTTCTCTTTACGATAATAAGACCGATAGCTTTTTCTTCGATGCCACATTTTATTATTGATCTCCCTTTTTGGCTATAAAAAGTGCACCAATGTTTCGTCATCCATCACGCAAATTTAATAAATCTATTTTGTTAAAAAATTCGTTTTTAAATAGACCGTTGGCACATTTTTCTTTTAGGCAATTTTAAGAAAATAAGGCATCTATCTGGTGTTCTTGCAATGTCTTTTGATGTAAATCTGATATTAATTTTCTGATATCGTATTGCACATAGCATTGATAATTTTGGGTGTCCCTACGAATTTCAATGGACCAGTTTGATTTTTATATTTTAACTCTCCTTTTTTACTTTTGAATTTTTGAATCAATCTGAAAACTTTACAGCTCTAAAAACTATTGTTTCCACATATAAAAATCATATCTTAAATATGAGTTCTTCGGCGATTTATATAAAGAAGCACAATTTTCACATACGCTCTCATTTTCATCTTATTGACAGGGATCATTTAAAACAGTTTTCAGCTCAGTGAAGTGACCATGCATACTTTAAAACTGAATTTCTTTGCGGGGACAATAGAAAAAAATTATCGGGGTTTTCTGTGATTAGGAGCTCTTTAACTGAGCGTTTCAACTGAAAAGAAATTAAATAGATCTACATTTACTATGATAAACTGTTTGTTGCGTTATTTATTGAACGACCCTCGTATTTTGTAGAAGGTCGTTGTGGTTCATTGAAATGTTCACCAGATATTGAAGGAAAAGAACTTGTTTGTGCTGTCTGTTCCAGACAGTAAAGAATGACTAATTGTTATTTTATATCATTTGACAAACATTCATTGAATGATGTATCGGAGACCCTGGTGTCGGGTTGTAGAATAATATAGAATCTTGCTTGCTACACAAAGCAGTATGAAACCTCTCCAATTCTTGAAGAGATTTACACGGCTAGAATAAGGCTGTCCGTAAAATATCAAACTGTTCCAACTGTAGTAACTTCTCTGAACTACCTAGATATGACGTCATAATAGCATATCATCAGGGTCTATATAACTTGCCATAATATACACACTTGAGCTGACATGACGTGGAAAATGTCATAACTTTTACATTCCTTTCAATGACATATAAAGATTTTTTTAGCGTTATTGTTTGATTCAAGTGTCTGAATTGTTCTTTAAGCCTAAGTGTGCTGTTAAGATGTTGAACGTTTGCAATGTAATATCGTTATTCCTCTAACTTGTCCGATTTACATATATTCAAACAATAACAAAAAATTGATCGTGAAACGCTCCCCCTTACACGTCCGTGGACAGAGTTAGAATTTATAAATCGTGTATATATTTGACTGGCACAAATAATTTATAAGGATAAATTGAAGATATTCTGTGTGAATCTACTAGAGAAGTATGTCCTCTAACTGAATTTTGCTGGGGGATTGTATGTAATTTATCTTATTTTGTATTAATTGCGATTAAGAGTGGAAAATGCCGCCTTGCATATGGATAAGTTGAATTTCTCGTTGAATATTTTCTAAAGAAATAAAATTCAGACTTGCCTCCAGCACTTTATATGTACCAAAGATCACGATGAATTGACTTATGGGACAATTTTTTCTCAATAATGTTGTTTTGCACTTGTGCCGATGCGATTTTTGTGCAACATTTCGGAATTTTTATTTGTCCGTCACGTGATCAACAAAGTCATGTGGCATCTCAGAAATGCATTATTATAATACCTGATTACACTCTCATCACGAGTTGACTGCAAATTCATACATAGATTACAAATTGAAATTAAAATCTAGATCAAAATAAAACGTATATTTTATGCATATTAAACCTTCGGACAACCTTAACATAGCTGCGTAGATCTCCCTTTGACAATCAGCCCTTTCTTCCCCTTATTATGGATATTCAAGCTTTTTTTTAATTAGGCCCTTCCAGCCCACCCAACCCCAAGATTTGGGGGTTAGGGATGCTACAAATTGAGATCAACTTTTTGTATGGGGAACATTATTGGAATAAACCTTTACAATGTCTTTACAATGTCCAGAACAGTAGAACAATTTTTGCCACACTGATATGCAAGCATATCAGGTATTACAATATTCTCTTTCTTTTCTTTTTTTTTTTTCGAATTATGAGTTATGCGATGAGATGGGGACGCAAGTAATAACAAAATTTACATTAGGATTTAAAGGAAAAAAATTAAGAATCTTCTTTTCAAAAACAATATGATGATTTTTATTAATTGCTTGTTCCAGAAAAAAAAACTAGCCACATTCGATCGAGTACAATATTCCACAAGGAGAATCTGAACATACTAAAAATTATTGCATTTTCTATATATTGGGTGCAATTAAAGTGAGAAAAAAAATGTAAACCGTTTAATTTATGGTAACAAGTGTTTATGCAATAGTGTGTATAAACTCTTGGAAAATGGATTGAAATTACAAATTAAAAAATTAAGATGGACCAAATCTTAGTACTTAAAATTTTCCAATTGGTGTTTATTTATGAAATTACATTCTTAAAATAGTATAAAGAGTTAGTTTGGATTTGCTTTATAGAAATGACTTTTCTATGGGTCATCCGAGACTTTGCACATAAAATAGACAATTTTTGGCATTAACTTTTAAATATATATAGGCAAGTTAACAATTGTAAATACCGTGTTTAACTTAACGGATATTTTTTGTCTGTACTTGTCGTATATTTTATCATTAGCTTTTGTGACGTAAAACGATTCCCAGAGAGTTGGTATCATGTGCTTCTTTAGTACATGCTCATTCTGTATCATGTTATATCAGCCACTTGAGCGACTTCACAAGCTGCCTTCTCCTTCATTCTATTTAAACAACTAAATCCAAAGGTATGACTCACTTAGGTGGGTGCTCTGAACAAAATATATATGTGTCTTGTTTATTATGCTGATAATTAAAACTTATTATATTTGTGTATTCACAAATTCATCTATATAGGCTTGGCATTTATATTTTATTCAGAATAGAAGAAATATTATCATTTACTTTTCTATCTACTTATTTTTTCACTTTTAGAATGTTGTACATGTTCTCTCTTAAATATCTATGTATTTTGCTATTAGTTATATTGTTAATTTTTGGAAATCTTAAAACTATGTTAATTGTATTATATATCTTTAAAGCAAGAAAAACCTGTTACAAAGGGTGGAATCTTGAGTACCAGGGTTACCTAATGGCTGGATACTATAATCATCAGGCTGGTACAACATACAAGTGTGTAGACAAGAATCCAGACACCTTACATGGCGGTAAAGGTGGTCTACATGGCTACCTATTCTATTTTGTAGAAGGTCGCTGTGGTTCTTTAAAATGTCCGCCATATGTTGAGGGAAGGGAACTAGTGTGCGCTGTTTGTTCCAAAGAGTAACGAATAAATATATTATAACAAAGAAAAGGCGGTCTTTTTTTTATTGATATTTTGAGTTGACAAAAAAATAATAATAATAATAATCATTGCAAAATATATTACCATCCCTTCTACATATATATCGGGGCTATTGAAAAGCGAAAGTGTGCAGGAATCCTCGATGAATATTTTTACATGATATAGTAGTCGACACAACAACAATAACAGATCTACGAGATCTGTGCATATTAGTCAAGTATTAAGTCAATTTTTGTTGCCATACCTCTCTATTTCGTCAATTCCGTCATAAAAGTCTGACGAACGGTCACATTTGAACACTATTTGGATCAAAGCATACTACCAGACTGACAGGTGTTATACCAAGATGGACATAACGAAAAAAGTACACATCGATATACATCGCACTATTTAACATGATTTACTTATCCACTTTATAGGTCATACTCAGAAATGATAAAATATTAAGACTGGGATGAAAAATTGTAAATATTACAGTAACAATGTATAAGCAGCAAAGGGACTTATCCCATTAATGCGGGTGATTTTTTATTTATTTATTTTTTGCTTGCAATGTTGCAATGAAAAAAGGTAAGATAACGGACATTGATCGATCTCAAAAAAATCTCTAAACAATACAATTCTCTGAAAAGGGGAATAAAACACGGACTCCCGGAAATTCAAGAGGTGGGGTCAGGTGCCTAGGAGGAGTAAGCATCCCCTGTTGCCGGTCACACTCGCCGTGGGCCCTATGTAATGATCAGGTAGACGAAACACTCCGTAGTCAAATTCACTAAAATAAAAAAGGCCTAACAATTAGTATGACAGTAGCCTGTCTAGGTTTAAGAATTGATTCGTACTCGGAGCATGCACTTGAGTGTGGAATAGGTTAAGAGATGTAAACACCATATGCATATTATCACGGGATATAACCACATAAACAAGGAAAGTTGATAGTGGAATAGTTGAAGTCATCTCGTTTGTCATACAGTTTAGTTGTAAGTTGGCCCTTATTGTCTTTAGTCAGTGAAACAGCAAGATAAGTAACAGTTGTGGCAGACTCTGTGGTCTATTTTATTTCAAGTTCAATGGCATATATTGAATCGACATATGGATGAAAGTAACTAATTGTTAATTGAAAATACATTGTCGACATATCCAAATGTCGAAGCCAAAGCAGGTATTTTCTTCTTCTCATGTAGAAGTTTTTGAATAAATTCTGCTTCATGGGAATATAAAAACAGGTCAGCTAATAAAGGAGCACAGTAAGTGCTCATTGAAATTCCAACAGTTTGTTGGAAGACCTGATCTCCAAAGACTACATAAATGTTGTCAATGAGGAACTCTAGCACCCTTTTAACATCAACTTCGGAGTACTTGTGTGTAGAATCAGAGTGATTTAACAAAGTAATTTTGCTGATGACTAAACACAAGAAAGGAAAATTTTTGACATCCATTTTTATTGAAGAAGCAGTTGTCTATGGTATCAAGAAGCCTAGTTTCTAATTTATCGTGAGGAATGTTTGTAGCAAATGTAGAAAGGTAGGATTTGATGTTACTGACTTTTGAAAATTTTGACGATTTTAAATTTTCTAAAAGGTCTTAGAGTTTTTAACGATCCACATTTGATTTACACCACTTTTAAAATATGCTGTTGCAAAGTACTTAGGAAGTTTCTTCCTAACAGCAGTTAATATTTTTAGAGGAGTAAGGGGCTTCCCTAACAAGAATTTGCTATAGTTTACTAAAGTTAAATATAGTTTACTATAGTTAACTATAGTAAATACTTTGATACTTTTATTTACTATGAAACTTTACCATAGAGCTTCTATGAAATTTCAAAGTGTAAAATCTCTTGAATGATATAGTTTAGCTTAGTTAACTATAGTTTACTACAGTATCGAAGTTTTTACTCTAGTAAATCAAAGCATTTTTACTATAGATTTTAGATTGTTTTATTTTATGTTCTGCAATACATGTGTGCGCATTGTATATATCAAATGGAACTATTAATTGTATATTCATTCACTATTTCTAAATTTTACATCATTTCCCGTGTATAGGGGTTAGTAAACCAAGAGCAGGAAACGGCATGTCATGTGGGTTGCACACCTGTCCTAGAGTACCTGGGGTAAATTTCTCTGAATGTGCAAGGCGTTGTCCAACCAGTCCCTTCAATGTTACATTATTTCTTCATTTTCAAATGAAATTACAACCATGAAATTTACACGAGTCAATACATACTTGCTATTTTTTTTACCCTGAGTGTATATTAAAAGGAAAAAGATCAATTATACTTTTAAAACAAATTAAGAGAGTTTGAATAAAATTAAAAAAAAAAAAATCAAATGAAATTAAGTTTTATTACTATTTTCTGTTAATACCGACGGGCTTGATATTTATGTTTCTGTTTATATATGTGCATGTATTATTTAAGTAGATTTTAAAAAAAAAAGTACAGAATGTTACGGCACGCGCATCGTTTTTCCTTCAATCAGTCTATTGCGCAAGTATGTTAAGGCAGTACCCAGATCATTTTTATGCGAATTTAGACTTTTTTCGTAAAATGTAACATTGATAAATCGGAAAAGCCATAGATAAAACATTTACTATTATTATCCATTGTATAGACGTCACTGAGTTTTAGGCTAAAAGAAGCACTCCACTACGACGTCATCACGTGACGTATATAAATAGAAAAATTGCCTTAATAAAAAGTGAAAAGTTCAACACTACCCCGGAGATAATTAATTTCTTTTAGTGAAAATAATTATGTGAAAACATCACTGGGCCATGAAAAGTGCTGCAAGAATCCTACTCTCCCGACACAGAAAAAAATCTTTCAAAGTTTCGTATGAAACCTTACCGAAATTTTTACATTTTATACATACGGTCAAGGAATTGTCATCAATTCATGCTAACCACACGATTCTAGCAGAACATTTCAAATACTATAGAATACAAGCTTTCGATACAAACAAAAATATTGTTTCAAAGTATGCGGTGTAGTGTTGAACTTTTGCATCTTTGTTGACATAGAGTGACAGAGGAAAGGCTGATCGGGATTTCAAAGCACTACCTGTGTTCATTATAAAAAAAAATGATAAGAATATATCAGCGTACCTGATTCTTTATCTTTAATTCCTTATGAATCACACATACCATTCACGGTATATTCTTTAAAACTTCCATTTCATATATCTGTTTACATGAATTCTCGTCACCTTTAATTTCACTCGGCAAATATTTGATCAAAAGTTATGACGTCATTGGTTTGGTATTTAACCCCCGTGCTAAATAATTAGCTATTTAAACCACCCAAAAATGACAAGATTTAGTTTAATTTATATTATGTTATGAATGATTCCTTTCATTTCTTGGACCTGAAATTAAACTTTAAATTTAGATATTAATAAATCATTATTTCTAAAGTTCACGTCATACAGCTTACTGTGACGTCATATTGTATAGGCAAGTAGGATATCTCTGGGTGTACCCGCGTGATTTATCGAGTCCATCGATTAAGGACGTATGATACTGACGATTTTGAATCCACCGAGCAACTCCGAATGACGTAAATCACTAAATGAATCTTACACCTTAATGAAAATTTACTCTATAACCAAATACTATTCTCAGAAAAAAGTTGGGAGGACAGACCCTCCCCCCCCCCCCTAAACACACACAACCATTAGGCAGGCCTGTATTGACTAGATCAGGTTGACTAGATCATAATTGATTGTTATTAAAATGAAAATTATTTTACCACCTGATCTAATAACTAAAACAAGAGTATTATTTCTTAGAGAGCGGGAACATCATATCAGCAATGAGACGAGAGAAGTTTTCAACTTTTTCCACAAAGAACAATCAATAAACAGGCAGACAAAATTACAGGTTTAAAAATAAATGGAATGAAGGTGTACAATAACAAGTGAACATAGAAGTTTCTCTGTATCAATCAGAATTAACCTAAAGTTTTGAGTAACGACAAGAAAAGTGTAGTCACTGGATACACTATCATTTCCCATGATGTTCCAGTATTCCTGAATGCAGTTTAAAACTGGCATTGTCAACAAATTCGATATGTAGTTATTGATGGAAGATGTGATTTGAAAACTACCGGTATATGTGACTCGTATAAAAAGTAAAGTGGATTCTATCTCAAAATGCAGACTTTTTCAGTTGAAAGACCCCAGAGTTTTATATGAAAAGAGTCGTACATCTTCAGTCTGTTTGAAATGTCCATGGCATCAGTTGTGGATACATTATTGGTGTTATCAGAATTTGCCATGCCTGTAGCATCAATTTTAGATACCATGTCAGTGTTTGGTACTAAATGTAATAAGTTTTCATTTTTTCATTAATTTAAATTTGGTCAAATTACAAATTATTTTTCATTTTTTTTAATTGTAGATAAGTTTTCAATATGTTAATGTATTTTGATTCTCATTTTGCAATGTTAAATACATTTCATTATAAAAATTATTTAATTACCTTATCATTGTATGAACAGATGCTAAATACACTGCATGTTAAAAAAAGAGTAGAACTTGGGAAATTCATCTTCCTTATTTTTAACAAGGTTTTCCATTGGAAAAATGATGAAAATGGCACACAAGGACGGCTAAGGACCCGAATGCATGCCATGACCTTCACTCAAGATCCTTTGATCAAATGTCATTTTAAGAAAAACATTGAATTCCTGTATTTTGTATGGAGAACATGAGACGCCCATACTGATCATAAATATTGCATATAACCTAAGGTTACATGTATGTATTGAGTAACTGACCTTGACTCAAGGTCATTCCAGCAAGTTCAAGGCTTCTGGCAGAAAAGTATTATTTGTACCTGGTCTATTACTCTCAAATGGAGGCTAATTGGTAGTTCATACTTGACACAAAAATTGCTTATGACTCAAATCTGTGTCATAATCTGACCTAGTCCGAAATATCTGACGTGTTCCAGGCTTTTTTTCACGA